GGGGGGGGGGGGGGGGGGGGGGGCTGAATCTGCAGCCGAAAATAAAAAATGCCCCCCTGCTAAACATGACTTTCCCCCTCCCCATCGGTGTTGACCTCGGTTCCCCCCAGCAGGAAGCACCCAACTTCTCGGCATGGGGGGAGCCCACGCGTCCGAGCAGGGGGGATCAGCGCAGCGTTGGGACCAGCCCCCCCCGCCGCTGAGCAATGGCCCCGCTGTGCCTGATGGCAGCTGTAGTCCTAACGGGCTGCCAGGAGGAACCGCGCTCGGGAGCCAGAAGCTGGACGCGGGTCGGCTGCGAGAGCCCGAACCCTGCGCGAATCCCGCAGGGACCCCGATGCCGAAGTTACAGTCCCCGCCTTGGCATGGGGGCCGGGAAGAGACTGGACCACAACTCCCATCGCTCCCAGCCTTTAAAGACTGAACCCCTCCCCCTTCCCCCAGTTTCGGAAGCTTAGACTCTGCGTTTACCCAGCAGCGCATGTTAATTAAAAAGTCAATGCTACTAAATTAAGGGGCAAAAGCTGATCAGGGCAGAGTCTTCCCCTTCGCCCCCCATTTTTTCAAAAGGCCCCCAAAGTTAAAAATCCCCCCTTCACAGCCTCCTTGCACAGCCTCCCTTTCTAATTCGGGTCCGCCGGATTCAGAAACCCGATTTCTGCCCCCCCAGCCCCCCCCGGCTCTAACCTTTGAGCAATCCTGCCCCCTTCCCCCAGCGCAGGTGTTCGCAGGGCAGCCGAACCTGCCAGCTGGGAAATCGAGGCGCCAAAAGAAAGAAACAGATTTTAAAAAATAGGAAGCTCGTAATTTGTAAATCCCGTTAAGGAAATACCATTTTCCTCGTGCCCGCCTCGAAATACAGATTTAAGCCCAGGACAGCGACCAGACCAAACCAGACCTTCTCGCGGGCTGCTCCTTTCTCCAGAGTGTCCGTGGAGTGCTTTCACTTCTCTATTCCATGTGATTTTTTCTTCTTCTTCTTCTTCTTCGCTGCCACACACCCATGGAGGCTAGGTTGTCTGCACGCGTCTGGGCTGGCTTCCAAAGACAGGGCGAGGCCTGGGCAAGCAGCTCGCAACAGGGAGAGGAGAAGGGGAGGGTGGCAGTCTGGGGCCTGCCAGCCCCGTTTTTATTCTGATAACCCAGGGAGGGAGCTTAGCAGCCTCACCGCGTAACTGCCACCCACCGATCAGGGCTTTGTACAGTGCCAGGCGGCAGCACCACTTTTGGGGGCAAAGCAGGCAAAAAGGAAAAACTCTCAGGAAGGGTTTTGGGAGGAGGGGTAGGACAGTTAATTACTCTTCCCAGTTGCTCCAGGGAGTTGGCACCAAGAGCTGAAATGTGAAAAGGAGTCTCCTAGGTCTGTGTTTTTCAACTTCAGCAACTTGAAGAGGTGTGGACTTCAACTCCCAGAATTCTCCAGCCAGAATGCTGGGATCTGTGCTTGGAGCTTGCCGGCTGGGGAATTCTGGGAGTTGAAGTCCACACCTCTTCAAGTTGCTGAGGTTGAGAAACACTCCCCTAGGCTGTAATCATCACACTGTAGATAGTCTCCCGATTCAGACAACCTGGTAGGGGTTGGCTTGGAAGTTTTGTGAAATGTGGTCCAGCCTCTCTAAGACAGGATCAGTAGGCCTCAAGGTTTACAGTGCTGCCCAACGGCACAGGTAATATTTATCTGGCTATTTTTTATTAAATGTAGATGCAGTGATGGTACAGCTCTTGCAATCTGGGGGGCAAGTGAGAGATGAGCAAGGAAGCAGAAGGCAGATTTCATTTTGCTTGGAGGCTTAATAAGGGCAGCAGACCCAGCCAGGTAGTTTCTCTGAGCGTGGTTTTTTCCCCCTGACACTTTTTTTTCCTGACACGTGTTTTCTTTCCCATCTTCACAGCACCAACCATCTTATTAGCAATTCCCTCAGAGGCTGCCAGCACTGAGCTAAGTAAGAGGGGCTTAATTCTTGGAGGAGGAACCACCAGGAAATCTCACAGCTGGAAAAGTTGAAAAAACATCCCTCCGTCCGACAGCAGGCTCCTTTTGTATTATTGCCAAGAAAATTACAAGGACGTGTCCATGAAGTCAAGCTAAACTTGGAGGTCACTGAATCACCCTGGCATTTGAAGGACTGAGACAGCAGAAATGAAAAGCCACTGTCCTTTTAAAGGGTGAAGGGATGACTGAGAGCCTCTGAGCATTCACAAAGTGCAACCCCCCTCGCCGTTCCACTCTCCCAAGCCCAGCCCCCACCCTTCACGGGCAGCTGAAAATTTGGGAGAAATGCTCTGAAAGCAAGAACATTAGCCATTGCGTGCAAAAATCCATTTCAGATGACTAGCCAGCAAGCAAGTTTTAAAGCAAGACGGGCCCACCACAGGAGATCTGGTTGATTTAGATGATAATTAATGGAAGGTGAAGCTCTTCCTCCTCCCTCTTTCATCAGATTCGTTTTACATTGTTCTCTTCACGAGAGAGACATGAAATTTAACTGGGGTGCCTTAGGTCTTTATGTACAGAGAGAAAGGGAAGCAACGCTGTTGAAGGAAAGCAGGGTAAAAATTGCAAGACGAATAAATCCAAAGAAACAGAAACGCTTGTTCGGCTGAAACTGCGCTTGGAAACGTGGACGATGCTGAGCTACAGGCTGTTAGCTCATTTCCATCTGTTCCACATAGGCTCAGCATTGTGTATTTATTAATGCACTGTATATTTATGTATTAATGCACTGTTTATTAATGCACTGTTTATTTATTAATGCACTATGTAATTAATGCAAATTTAACCCAAGTGTTCACCCCCCCTTGCCTGTCGAATTCATCCTTCCCATTCATGGAAACCGCCCCCCACGCCTTCCCCCCCCCCATGCCAAACTCCAAGCCAAGGCTGCAGGCCCCCTCCTTAAAGGGCCAGGAAAACGGCCCTTTTCTCTGGGCTGAGGGGATGTTCACAGCCGATGGCCCCTGCATGGCTGGGAGAACCGTGTTTAAAAGCACACCATGGTTGTGGGACCTGAAACCAGGGGCATCAAACATTGCAGCTGGCTGTTTGCAACAGAAGCCTGGAGGCATTTTGAAGCCCAAGGGAGCATGTGAGAAAAGGGTACGCGCATGTCTGGTTCCAAGGAATGGGGGTGCAAGAAACCAAGACGGTTTTGATCTGGGCCATGCGGAGCACACACTAATCAGAGTTTGTTGAAGAAGCTACGCATAAGGAGCCAAGCCTTAATGCAACTTTAAATAACTCTGGCATACTTCTACTGCACGTCGCTCTAAGTTGTAAACCAAACAAGCTATAATATGGTTTAAGCAGGAAAAGTGAGATTGGCACAGCTACTGCCAAATCCCCAGGAAACAAAAATTGTGCTTTTTATGGAGGGGGAACTTTTGAAAGAGATGTTTTATTCTCTCCCCTCCCCGCCAACCAAAATAACATTACATGCTGATATTTCTATCGCAGCTTTCCTTGTGCCGGTGGCTATTAGGAATCGACAGGGAGAAAGGCGCAACGGGGAAGGAAAATTAGAGCCCATGATCCATGGCGCTCCTGTTCCATCAAACTCTTTGAGAGCGAAGGAGTTACTGTAATGGAAAAGCCAGGAATTCAACCCATAGGGAACAGTTTAACTTTGGTGCTTTATTAGAGATTTCTTCCAGCGAGGAGCGTGGTCCGTACCTCCTTTCCGTCTCTTCCCTGGTGCGCAGTGGAGAAGCACACTCAAAACTGCAGCAAAAAAAACTTCAGAAGAATGGGCCACAGTCGATCGATGCTGGGGTCACCTGGAAGAAATGCCAGCTCGCCCTAGACGAACGCTTTCCATTTCTGCGGCCCCAGCCTGAACAGGCTTGGGGAAGTTGCCCGCTGCAACAGGGTCCCCTCCGTTTCTGGGAAAGAGTCCATGAGGATTTTGGAAGAGGTGGGCAGCCAAAGTCTGGCCCCCACCCCACGGGATACGCTAAGCCTTATGGACTGAATATTTGCCTTTTTGGAGCTGGGAAACGTAAATCTTGGTTTTGCTACCGTCTTCTCTGCGCAGCCAGACCTCCCCTGTGCTGATAGCGGTGATCACAGCCCTGGGATCAAGAGGGGGGGGAACACACAGTTGGGGGACAAAGCAAGAGACAAGAGGCGCTTAATTGAGCCTTGACTAAGGCCCACAGAGGTCCACCTTCACCGTCGATGGAGCTGAGAAGATCCCTGCAGATCTAAGGAAGTTTATCAGTGAAACTGCCCGATGGGCTTAAACCCAGCCCTCTCCACCTTGTGCCCGCCAGAGGTGCGCTGAGAGTTTCTGCATGCGAACAGTCTCCCCACACCTGGAGGCCACCAAGTTAGGGGAAGGCTGGGTTTCAGTGGGAGCCCGTGTCTTTGGAGTGGAAGACTCAGCCGTGGGGCAATTTCTGATCCATCAAGGTCAGACCAGACTCGAAAGATCTGTGGGCCCAAGGACAAGAACCCCCCTTCTTTCAGATAGCTGAACTCCACCAGGCAGAGCTGGCTCACCCCCCCAACACTGTCACCGCCTCCTTTGCAACTCACTGGACAGGTGCCTCATCTCCCACTTGCAAGAAGATGCTTTGCCCTTTGACGTAGACCTCGCCCTCATAGTGGAGGTGGCCATCTTCACAGTGTGCGGAGAAGAGGGGAGGGGAAGACAGCTTCTCAGCCTTCAGTGGGCCTGGAGGAAGGAGAGGAGGGGGAAAGGGGGGACTCAGGGCTGTTCAGGGAAGGAGAGGGGATGCAATGGTATGTGGGAATGACCTTGGGAGACAGGGGGAAGAGCTGCACGGAACGGTTGGATAAGAGGCAGCTGAGCCCACAGAAGGAATGGGGGTGTGGAAAATGTCTCAGAAGGGAGCCTCCCTAGTTTCTTGGGCTGTAAAGGCGATGGGGGAGAGAGGTACTTTCAGACTTGCAGGATTCTGTTAATGTCACCTTACAGTAAAGTATAATTTGTTCATCTGGTTGTGCTTCCTATCTGACTACCTGGCTAGGCTGACAACAATCTTGCAAGTCTAGTCTCCGGGTTAACAACGCCCAGGTTACAGACGACCCATAGTTAAGAATGGAGCCTACTGTAGCAAAATTCCAGTTAAATCCACAATGGTTCGAGTTCATTACACCATACTACTTAGGCGGTATTATACAAGAAGATGTTCCGGCTTACGTACAAATTCGACTTACGGACAGACCTTGGGAACGGAACTCGTTCTTAAACTGGGGATTCCCTGTATTCTCTTCCAAAGAGAGGCAGAGACTCCCTGTCTCCCAAGGTCATTCCCACATACTATTACAGGGACAGCAGAAGAGAACAGTGTCCGCAGAAGGAGGGCATCTCTTCCCACGCTACACCCGTCCACTGGTTCACCCAAAGCTTTATTCCCGCGCAATGCTAATCCACAGCTCACCAACCCAGGGTTGAATCAGGAACCAAATGTTGGGGGTTTGCACAACCCATTGAAGATTGTAAATTAACCCACCAGGCTGGACCACGTGCAAAGGGGTTGGGTTTCCCGGAACACCCTCAACCAGGCACTGGGTGAAAGTGACCCAAGATGTTTTGCACACTCCTGCCCCTGCTGATTGAGGTAGATGGTGAAAGTTCTTTCACTCTTCGGAAATAAATGTTATCCTGCCAGACTCATCTTCTGGGCAGGAGAAACCGAAAGGAAACTTTTGGACTTCCATTCATCCATTCTGTCTTTCACATCACCCTTTGCCACCCTCGACTCCCAATTTTTAAGGGATTGGTCTGGGTACACAGCTTATGCCACAAATAAGGACATTTTGCTTTTGGCTTAAATCAGGGTTTCCCAACCGTGGCAAACTTTAAAAACGTGGGGGACTCACAACCCCAAAAACCCCCCCCCCCCCACACCTCTCGGGGAGTGGTTGTGTTGTAGTCGAGA